TGCTGCTGTCGCTTCTTCTCTTCTTCGGCTCTCGTCGTCTCTCTTCTCTCGTTCTGTCGGTCTGAGCTTGACAGCCATGCGCGCTCTGGCTGGCTCTCGACAGCCTACCAGCGCGCTTCTAAAGAAGTCCCCCGCCCCTTCTTGGTACTGCCTTCCCCCTACGAGTATGCACGCACTTGCCGAGTGTATATACACAACCAAAAAACCGGCTAGCAAATACACGCCAGACCATGACTGACGACCGAAAAGCCGCGGGGCCTTCTAGGTATGTAGTCGATTGGTGGACATGTCGCGCATGCGTGGGCCCGTTGTTCTGTGCTCCTGCTTGCGTCTCTCTTTTGTATGTGTTTACCAACTGCGCCGCTGCCGTTGAGTTTGAGCTGCGTACCACGGTCGCCGTCGCCCAGCTTGCCCCCCCCGCCCCCTTAGGATAAAAGAAAGCGGGCGCAGCCGTAGGAGCAAGCTGCCCTCTTACGTGCTTGGCTGGCGTCTGCCACTGACAGACACCCAGCGGAGGAGACACAGACAGAGACCAGGGGCCAGCTGTGAGAAAAGCCGAGGAAATTCATACTAACTAAGACAAGCCGAGCGCGCTCATTCATATTGATTTATGAACACACACCCAAGCAGGCTACTTGGCTGGCTTCTAAAGAATTCGCACAAGGTGGCGCCTGCATTGGCTCAGACAGTCCCCGCCCTCTTCGGTCACACGCTGCCAGCTGGTCCCCCCGTCTGGGCGCCCCGCCCTCTGTGGTGTTGCGTGTGTCTTATTGCTAGCATAGCGAACCAGTTCCCAGTGGCTGCCTAGTTACCAGCCCAGAACGCAGTCGCAGGCGCGTCGGGCTGACAAACTGAAGCGGTATGGATGGGAAGAAACTCAAAAAGGCAACCCGCGCACCCGCTCGGTGGATGGGTCAAGGAGAGCGAGCCCCCCAAAGAAGCGACAGGCCCGCTCAGCCGCTGGCTGACTGACCTGGGAGGCCGTTCGACGTCGGAGGGAACGAAGGCGAACGCGCTTCCTTTCTTTTTAAGATAGACCTGAGTGAGATGGTCAGTCGGTGGCCGGCCCGTCTTTCATCGTTCCTCCCTCTTTGTTTCGTTGCTTGCTTCGTCCATGCTTGCAGGGGAGGACAGAGGGAGCCAGTCTCCCGCGCTCGCTCACGCACGACGTGCCTACCTGCCTACCTACGTACCAAGGCCAACCAGTCAAGCGCCTGCCTCTGTGGAGGCGTGGGCGCGTGACTGTCTGACGGGGCGAGCCACTCAGCCGACCTACCAAGCAGCTTTTTTTGTGCGCCCATGGTTGGGCCCCTGGCTGCTCCCTCACTCGCTCGCCGCTTGCTGCTTGCTATTATTCAGCGCGCGCGCCTATCTTTTTAGGCAGCTTGCTAGCGCAGCTAGCCAGGCCCTGAGTAGGTTGGTCGCCCCTGGCTGGCCGCGCTTGCATGCGTTACCCCCTTGGGTGCTGCGCTGGTATGACGGGCGGGGGTGCATGCGTGGCATATTCAAAGACGTACGCAGCCAGCTCACTGACTTCGGAAGAACGACAAGGCGCCCAAGCTATTTGTCCTCACTTGCGCCCATGCATTAGATAGAAGCTCCGGGGCAGCTTCGTAGCTAGATGCGCAGCGAGCAGTCTGACAGGTCAGACACGAGCGGCCACGCTACATAGCCACGCCATGAGGCGGTCGGGGGCCCAGGCTTGTTCTGGTACATTCTCAGAGAGGCCCACTGCTGCACAAGGGCGCCGGCCACCCATTTTGCTAAAGTCCGCGTCTCTTGTTGGTTCGGTTTTTCATTTTGGTGAAAATAGCGGCAAAAAAGCCAGCAGGCGCCGACAATGTCCGAAAACTGCCGAAAGTTTCCGAAAGTCCGAAAGTTGCCGAAAGTTCCCGAAAGATTCCGAAGAAGTCCGAAAGGTGCCGAAAGTTGCCGAAAATTGCCGAAAGTTGCCGAAAATTGCCGAAAGTTTCCGACAATATCCGAGAAAAAAACGTCGGCAACTTTCGGAAACTTTCGGCAACTTTCGGCAACTTTCGGCAATTTTCGGCAACTTTCGGCACCTTTCGGACATCTTCGGAATCTTTCGGGAACTTTCGGCAGCTTTCGGATCTTCAAAAACTTTCGGCAATTGTCGGAAATTGTCGGCGCCTGTTGGTTTTTTTGCCGTCTTTTTCACCAAAATCAAACAGCAAGCCAACGAACAAAAGGCGCGGACTTTAACAAAATCCCGCGCGGCTTTTTCTGCCACACACAACGAAGCGAGCCGCCAAGGGGACGCGCGAGCCACCGCAGCGAGCACGGTGCCCGACCTGAGAGAGAGAGAGAAAGAAGAGCACACGGACGGTAAGCAAGCTACACCGGTCTAAAAGTCCACGCATGGCCCGGGCGTCCCTCCCACCCTCTGAGCCAGCTACTTACGCTAGTCACCCACCCTGTGGACATTGGACGCCTTTGCGCCACACACTACGCGCATGGGCGCGCTCCTCGCTCGGTCAGTCTTTCGGCCGCTGGTTCCTGCACTCTCTCACGCGCGTCTGTCGATCTTCAGGGCCAGGCGCTCGCCCCCGCCAACTAAGGAGGTGAGTGATCGAACGACCCCCACACCCACAGGGAAAAGCTTGCAAAGATTGGCCAGCGCTGGCTTTCTTATATGCTTCCACCCCCAGGCTGGTCACTCAGTCGCCCCCCCTGGTAGACTGTCTGAGCCACAGACGCGGAGCGAGTCTCCCACCCAGTCTGCCAGCCTCTGCCGGTGTCTGTCAGATTGGCCGGCTGTCTCTGCCGCTTTCACGCTTTGGCCCTTCACAGGCGAGGGCGAGGAGGTGAAAGCCTCGCCGCGTCAAGCAGTGGCGCCCAACCTTCCTTGCCCACAGATCTCAGAGTCGTCACAAATGCCGAACGGGGATCAGTAGCCAGGCAGCCCCTGGCCATGTGCCTGATTGTGTGCCATTAGCGCCTACCTCGTGCCTGTCTTCTTTCTTGTTGCGTTGGTTGCTTGACTGGTGTGCGCTCTTTCTTAGGTAGACTGGCTTGGCCTTGGCTTTCGTTCTTGTGTAGTCTCTCTCCAACGAACTCGCAGGAAAGAGCAAGCCGGTGGACCGACGTGGGAGATCAAAGTCACAAAAGAAGACCCCGCGCGCATGCACATCTTCGGCGCCACTCTGCCAGGGCAATACGATACAGCGGCGCGCGCGCAGAGACAGAGGAAGGGCCCAGCAATCTGCCCAGCAAATGAGTAAGCGTGACGGGTGGAAGCGTAGGAGGCTCACCCGCACTCTCTCACGCAGTTAGTATATGACTTGCACCCGCTCGCAGTCTTTCGCCCGTCGTCCCTCAATCTATCACAAGAGGCGAGGGCGAGGACTGGCAGAGAGTGAGACAGAACGGGCGAAGGAATGCCATGAGTTGAACGAACAAGAGCGAGAGCGAGACCGCCTCGGCGCGACTTGGATAGAATGGCGAGGAAGACCGGGAGAGGGTAGCTACCTAATAAGCCAGATTGCTGCGCACATAGCTACGCACTCCCAAGCAGACTGGTAGAGTTAGAGACAGCGCCCCCCGCCCATCTCGCGCTGATCACTCGGCGACAGGCTTGCCATCGCTGGCGAGGTATTGCGCCAGAGATAAGTCGAAGCACCTCGGCCGCGCCTCTCCGTCGAGCGAGCACTCCGGTGAGTGGGCGGCCCGCTCCTGGCTGCCCACGGCATCCACCCCAGCGCCAGCCGGCTGATAGTTGGACTGGTCTCATTTTCAACGCGCACGCTGGGCCTACTTGGGTAGGGGGCTGCCAGTGCCAACGGAGGCGGAGACCGACGCCAAAGCCGCCACGTCTACTGATTGGCCCCCGCGTGGGTGTCTGCCCTTAGCTCCTAGCTACCCACGCGCCGGCACCTGAGTGGTGTCCATATCTATAAGCAAACCAGCAGCGCAACCCACGGCCAAAGGCACCACCAGGCAAACGATAGCAGCACAGCCAACGCCGGCCGGTATTAAGACTGAGAGCAACGAAGCCACCGAAGCACCAGCAACAGGCGAACAGAGAGGCCCAGCCACGAACACAAGGCGCCGCCTGCCGATAATAGACCACACCCAGCGACAAGCGCACCCAACCACGGCCGCCAGCTGAGGGAACCAGTAGCGTAGCGGCTCTGCGAACCAAATCGCAACCGTGATTGCACGAATACGACCCCCCTACAACTTCACGAAAGCGCGCGCCTTATATATTAGCTAGCAGAGCGGAAGGGCTGACAGCCATGGGGAAACAGCAGAGCAGAGCAGGCGACTGAGATACAAGAAAACCACCCCAGGGGTGAGATGCCAACAGAATGAAGAACACACGCAGACCCCTAAGGACCAAGCCCCGCCTGAGGTTCGGCGTGAGTTTTAGAAGTTGCCAGCTTGCTTTTACGGTAACTTTCGGAAGCTTTCGGGGATGCATTTGCTGGGCTGGAATTCTTGCAACCTTCTGCGCTTCCGGATGCGTCTTCTTTTGCGCCTTCTTCTGCACCAGCAGCGTGTTTATCCGCACCCGGGATGCCCTAAACTCGATCCTGCGCAGCTCGTCCTGAATGTTGACCGGAGGAGGAGGCCCCACATCTAAGTCGCCTTGTTGTAAACCACGACGACCGGGGCTGTGTTGCGAGGTAAGGCAATTCAACTGCTTATGCAGCCTCAGCGTTACGAAGTTGTTGGTGTGAAAATGAAACAAGTGGCTTCGCCTTGAGACATCACATCCGACCTTATGCAACCTCTCTGCAAAGAGGATCGCGGTTGCGATGCGACGAAGGATAGATAGGCGCCCGTTCAACACCGTGGCATTCGCGCGAACGATCTGCGGCGCGATGGTACTTGCTTCTACTAGTTTCTTGCTAAAGCCACGATCAAGATCAGCATCAGGAAAATCTTTGACGAAGTTGATGTACTCCCCAATCGTATCACACGCAGGAACGCCCTTCCAAGGGAGAGTATCTAACTTCTCGAAGCAGTGGATGCGAAGACTAGTATACGCCGAGTCAAGAACTTCGTAGCCCATCATCACGTCCTCCCGATCGCAATGCTCAGCATACTTGAAAGCCACCTCCCCGCACTGAAGACTCCAGACCTCATTCATTTTCGCCTCAACTGCATCCCGAGTAAGATCCACTGATATGATGTTGGGGTCGGCCAAGATTTTGCGCCCTATCGCTGTCACAACACGAAGTCCCAGCAACAGCTGCCACATGCTACTCATGAAGTCCTTTGGCGTCATACTACTATGCTCGAGGGCCGACTTCAAGTAGTACTTCTTAGTCTGTACTACTAGAGCCAGCTCGCACGCCTGTGGGAATAACCCTAAGAAAAGACATTGAAAAGGCAGTAGCGTCCTACTGCGTCCACCGCCTCCCCAAATCTCCCTACTTGAATTTCAGGGGTACTGAACACTTCGACAAGGCAGCTGTCAGTGTCTCCCCAGCTGCCTGCTGTGTACAAGAGGCCACCAACGAAGCGAATCTGCAATTTCTTGATCCTCTCTACTAGATCTGGCCTCCACCCTCCTGCACAGAAATCAATCAAGTTCTCGTACTCCGAAACGCTAGAAGGATCCAGCGGCTTCTTCACCCTGAAGTGCTGGACGAAGTGATGAATGGTTGTTCGTACCACTTGCGTGCTGCTGTTCACAGAACGAGTGATCTGCACCATGGCCCTCTCGTCTGCTTCGCCGAGCATCACCAGCTTGAGACCATCCTTAATCGCAAGGTGGTACGCGTGAGGCGTACACCGCGACACCACCGTGAGGTCACAAAGCGCATCAGCCGGATCCAGAACGGGACTGTTTGGCAAGTGCTCGCGCAAAGCCACAAGATCCGACGCCATGGACTTCAACGAAGCCCCGTCACCAGCATAATGACTAAGGGTAAAAACGCCATCGATGGGCACGCCAGAACGTCGGAGAAGAACTCGAAGTGGCTCCGCGTGGAAGCGGATCTCCCTCGTCACTGCTTCCGAGTCATGAGAGCGCATCATTTGGACCAGCGGCTGCAAGGTCCAATACCTCTCAAGCTTTTGGTCCCCACCAAAGTCACAACGTCCGAGACAGCGCAAAACTAGAAGAGTTTCATGAGGGGCCAGCCGCTTGCTCCATAGGTCCAAACTAGACACGCTGGCGCCATCAAATTCGGTATGCGAAAAGTAGCTGGTCTTCTCTTCTCCAGTTATTTTCCGCAAAAAGCGCGCCGCTGCTTTCTTCTGATGCCGATACAGCAGGACGCAATACAAGTGCCGCATCTCCTCAAGCTCATCTCCAACACTTTTCTGTAGTGCTTCGCTAGGAGTCCCCTTCATCCACGTACCAGTCTGCAGGTACTTCCAAAACTTGACCAAGTAAATCAAGTAGGACCCAGAAGCGCGCATCGGCACCCGCGGAAGGAGCATAAGCTCTCGCAACGCTGGAACAGGAAGTGGCACACCACAAAAAAGAGCCACAGGATCGCTCTTGGGTGCAACATCCTCCATCTTCACCGCAGAGCCGAAGCGGAAAGAGCGGGAGCTACTGTATCAAAACTACATAAGAGATAGGCATCGCTTTACCCTGTGCCACTTACATAATTAATTACTCCTACAGCTGTCGCTTGCGTTCTAGAAAGACTAGCTACTACAATAAATATGCCGCCATCACATCTAAATAGACAAAGCAGGACTATGCTCGTTTGATTCTGCATGCCGGGTGCCTTTTTCTTGTTGAGAAACTTCATCAAACCGCTCTGCCTCCACTGAAGCCAGTCACTTCACCCACTCGCGCAGGCATCTCTCGAACCACTCAAACAACCACACTCACCTCGCACTCCCCTCACTCAATTCACTCTCAGAATCCACCACCAACCTCATCCGTTTCAGTATACTTTTTCACATCCCAAAAGTATTCCAATACTTCGCCCGGCTGCATCCGGATGACCGATCAATGTCATGCGTCGCAAGCTTTTAGGTTGGCGGGTGTGAGAGAAATCCGCACTGCGTCAGCCTGTTTGAGTTGTTTGCTGGCAATCTGTTGAGAGTTGAGCCATAAGAAAAGCCAGAGCCTTGGAGTGATTTAGTTAAGTAATTAAGTGCTTAAAAGAAAAACGAACGTAAGTGACAACGCATCGAAAACACACACAAGACAGAAACACTCTGACGCTTTCCTTTTTCAACAGGCGTTTTATGCATTTGAATAAACACCACCCAACCCAAGAAAACTTTCGGCACTTAGCGTGTTCATTCACTGGAGGAGGAAGAGCCCAATATACAGAATCTGTCAAGGGGCTTACTTTGTAAGTCAAATACGGACACACAATCTAGAAAACAAAGCCAAGAAACTGGATAGGCAAACAAAAGGATGGCGCAGCTCATGTTTTCAAATGAAAACACTACCAACCTCCACCGCGCCGGCCTCTCGATGCTTTTTCTGCGTACCTCCTGCGCCTTTTTTTTGATTGATATAAAAGAGAGGGGGAACAAGGCGGTGGCCTTTTAAACACTAAAGACGAAGGCCGCGGCCTCTCTTTTTTATTTTTTCAATCGCTTAGACGTGAAGAAAGTGGCAAGGGCATCCAACTCCCTGCAAAATTCTAGCAAGATCCTGCAAAATTATAGCCCCTCGGGCTGTTCCTATGCGTCTGTTCGTAATTTTTGTCGGGGTTTCTCAGCTTGCCACTGTACAGCCCTAGAACCTCCGAAGGCCACGCGAATGGATTCCACACACTGGTGCGGGTGGCATGAGGATCGCGTAACTGGATCGCATATACCAGCAAGAACTTCACCACGGCTTCGCCGTGGGTCCCTGAAGAGAATGGAACTGCGAAAGTCTCAAGAGCTTCAACAGAGTAAGCGTGTCCCAAGACAATGCCAGCAGAGCGGCCAAGCCCCTTCATCCCGAAACTCATGGAATGCAGAGACTTGAAGCGCGTCGCCCTTCGCATGGCTTTCCGCTCAGCCGCTTCGCCCATAGCGAAGGCACCAGATGCTTGCACCTCTTTGCCGGTCTGCTCATCCAGCTCCTCGAAGCGCGCGCGCAGCCGATAAAACGCACACTTCTGCGCGCTGACCTTCTCTCCATCTCCCGAACCCTTGGCCACCCGTGCTCGCTCCCCGTGCTTCACAGTGATGGCCTGGCCCTTGAGTAGTTCGAGCACCTGTGGGGCACTCTCTTTTTGTTCTTCAAAGATACGACGCTCGGCGGCTGCAAGGAATGCGGGTGGCCGTTCCTCTGCTGACAAAGCTGCAGCTGCAAGTGAGGAGACCACTTGGCCCGCCGAGTGTTCTGGCTTCGGGTGTGCCGGGAGCGCTGTCTTTTCTTGGCCCATAAAGTGTTCTTGCTCCAGGTGAAAGAGAACTACTGCGGCAAGCTTCTTGCCTGCCTCTGCTGGAGAAGACCAGTCCGCCGCCGCTCGCAGCGCTTGAAGCACTTCGGAGTCCGGCTCAGTACCGTCGAGCACTGTTGCCCCAAGCGCGTCCCGAACAGCTTGTGGAGTGCTTTCGCCCACGGCGTTGGCCATGCTTCCACTTTCCAAGAAGCCCGCTACCCACGACGGCTCTGGCTCAATGCCCTGCCGTGACGATATCCACTGCTCCCACCCCCTTCGTGCACTTTTAAGAACGAGCCACGCCACCCGCTCCGTTAGCGAGACCCACAGTCGGCATTTTCGCGGATCTAGCAGCTGCTGCTCGCCCTCTTTTTCCCATTTATAAAACACGGAGAGTCTATAATTTGCTGTGCGCGATCCTGCTTTCCAATGCCAAAGCTTGTGGAGGTCCTCTTTTGTCTGGTGCACCTGCTCGCCGTAACCGGCAAAAAGCGCAGCGGCGTCCATCATGGCGCCCCGGCCCCAGGCCATCGCAGAGTAGTCTCCCATTACCTTGGCAGCCGCCTTGATCAAGAGCGTTATCGTGGCCGAGCGCTCTGAGCCTATTTTTGCGCAGCGACACGGGTCGTTCTCTGTAATTGTAGGGTCGCCACTGTCTGTGCCGCCGCCGCCTGTTTTTATTCTTTTCACAGGAATTCGGTCATCGATAATCACATCGTGAAAGCCATGACCCTCGACGAAGAGCCGGACACGGTACAGACCAAGTGTCGACGTCCTGATCTCACGCAGCCAGCCAAGCCGTGCGAAGACCTGCAAAGCCCCATAGATATGACAATTGCCAAGCGCCTCCACCTCCTGTCGAATGTGCTCCACGCTAAGAATTTCACCCACTCCCAACCCGAGGCTCGACGCCCCTCGTTGACAATACAAGGAGACCTTGGGGTCGGCCCCTTCTTGCAGCCCAAATTATTAGAGAAACGTGATCAGACAGAATGCCCCGACAGCGAAAATTTGCGCCATCTAAAAAATTCAAGCACTACGAAGCGGCCCTCCCCATTCAAAAAGGGAAGGCTTGCAGAGCGTCTTTCTAGCTATCTTCAGAGACCCAGGGGCCCTCTCAAGCTAAGAACCAAGATCACCTCGCCCCCCCTATTAGTAGAAATACCGTAGCCCTATTACCTTACCAGCACGACGAAAAGCAGAGACGAACAAATCCCAAACAAGCGCCGACAGCCCTTCTATCTAGTATGCAACTTCATGTCTATTAGCAGAGGAGCTTAGCAACCGCTAGGATGCAGAGACGAGCATAAGGTCCGCGCGCTACTCATCCCCAGAAGTGCGAGCGCAAAAGCCTCTACCCTTCGCCTTCTTTCAGAAGCAAACCAGAAGTCACAAAGCAAGCACGGCTTTGGGGTGCAAGCTGCTCACTACGATGCATATTTATCTGCAGAGCCGTACGTGGATCATGGCTAGCCTGAAACATGCAAGAGGGGCACCAGCTGACGGCGGTAAGGTAAGAGTCACACACACCACAGACGGCGGTGGCCACCCGAAGCGGAAGCCGGGAAGCTCGGGGCCCGCCCCATCTGCCCCTGACTGCGGCGCGCCCGCGTCAGCCGTCGGCGCCAACGCCGGCAGGGGCAGCGCTATCGACCTCCCATGCGTGCGTGGCCATGCCCTCTCTCGGGGCGATAATTCGGTCCGCGGAGCTGCCCAAGACTCTGACCCTTTAAGACCGAAGAAAGGTCTCCCAAGGCTTTTGGCATCCAAGAGGAGCCAGGCGGCCTCTCATCTCTCTCACCCCAAATAATGGCTCAGGCAGATAATGCAGCGGGGGCCCCTCTCCTATATCCAGAAATAAGAAAGCCGACAGGCTCCCTACGCCTGAGAACGTGCACGCCAC